GGATTTTATCTTCACACTCTCCATCTGTATTCTAAATTCAACCATACTGTGATCACTCCTTCCAAGAGGATCCCTAACTATGAGGTTATTAATTATTCCTGTCTTATTACACAGGACCAGATCTAGGATAGCTTGCTCCCGCGTTGGTTCCATTACATACTGTTCAAGAAAACTATCACAGATACACTCAATGAACTCCTTCTCAAGGCTACCCTGACCGAGCTGATTCGACCAATCTACGTGTAGGTTAAAATCCCCCGTGATAATTGCCGTACCATTTTTACAGGAATTAGTTATTTCTTTGTTTATTGCCCACCCCAATGTGATATTATTTGGTGGCCTATAGACTACGCCTATCAGTGACTTTTTCCTCTTAGAATTTCTAATTTCCACCCAAATGGATTCAACCTCATTCTCCATAGAACCTATATCATCTCTCAGCACCACCCTGATGGCGTCCTTGAATATCAGAGCTACACCACCTCCCTTACCTTCCTGTCTGTCCTTCCGAATAGTCTGGTACCCTTGGATATTTAACTCCCAGTCGTGACCATCCTGTAACCATGTCTCCGTAATGGCTACCAAATCATATTCATTCGTGATGATTTGTGCCGTTAACTCATCAACCTTGTTACGAATGCTACGGGCATTCAGGTAAAGTGCCTTTATGCTAGCTTTCTTACCCCCATGATTTCCAACATCTCTAATAATATCTCCTGAGTTATCCTTCCTTTTTGCTTCTTTCATAGTCTGCCTTGAACTTGAACCCTCCTGCACATATGCTAACCTGCTGCTTACCTTTTTATTTACCATCACACTCCCTGTCGTTTTCCCTTTCCCTTCCCCCCAACTCACTAGTTTAAAGTCCTAGTGACCACCCTATTTATCCTTCTCGCAAGAGCACTGGTTCCAGATCGGTTCAGGTGGAGACCGTCCCATCGGTACAGATCCCTCCGGTTCCAAAACTGATGCCAATGCCCCATGAAATGGAACCCCTCTTTCCCACACCACTCCCTTAGCCACGTGTTTACTTCCCTAATCTTCTCCTAAATTTTCTCCAATCCTACTAAACACATGGCTGCTTGCTTCAATTTCTGCTTCAAGTTGTTTGAGTTTCTCCCATTTTTATTGGAGTTATATATTACATATAAATTACTTCTGAAGAGTAGTCACTGTTGTAATACTGAATGAGAACATCTCACTTAGCTTGTGTGCAGCCCCTAAGTGAATAGTTTGAGGATAACTGATCTGTAGCTTTTCCAAGGACGACATTACCCACTGGGTAATTGTCTTGGAGGATTAAATGGCCCCATTGGTGGGACTTTGTTGAAGGGCTGACAACCAGAAGACACTGAACTAAACCAAATGGCAAAAGCTCTAAAGGCAACAGAAGCAAAAACTGTTCTTACGACAGAGAATGGTTAGGATCTGGAATGCAATGCCTGAGAGCATGGTGAAAGTGGTTGAATTGTGGCTTTTCAAACTGGATCAGATAACTATATAAACGGAAACAAATTGCAAGGCTATGGGGGAAAACGAGAGGAGGAAAGGGACAGCTGAATTGACAACTGGCATAGACACAGGGGCTGGAATAGCCTCCAAGGCTGTAAGTATTCTGGGATTTTAAATGTATTGTCCTTGGAAGTACATTAATATAGCTGCAGAGAAGTTGGCTGCTGAGAATAAGGCAATAGTAATAAAAAAAAAAGCAGCAAATTTAAAAGGCTTAAAAAAAGTTAAATTATAAATTAAAAATACTAAATTATCCATGAAAGTAAAAATCTCAGGCCAATAAAAGCATTAGTAAAAATAGTATTAGGTATTCTTTCATTTTTTTTATTTTATAAATTTTTCACAATGTGAAAGTTAGCAGTGGTAATTAACAGCTACTTTTAAAGAATTGTTTTTGACTGCCATCCCTAGCAAATAAGATTGTAGCAACACTATTAATTACCATCTATGCAACTACTGGCATTTTGTCGGGACAGAGCTGGGTTAAATAGTTTATCCATTCCTCCTCTATGTTTGCACTTCTCTACCTCAACCTTCTCCACCAATCCTGCACTCTCCCACATCCCCTATTCCAAGGCCCTTCTGCATCTTTTATTTTCACTTTCTTGAAGAAAGTTCCTTAGTTCCAGGGGTTTGGATTGGGAACAATTTGTTAGGTGTGTTCAGGAGGGTTTTTTGTAACAGTATGTGGATAGTCCAACGAGGGAGAGGGCCATACTCGACCTGGTATTAGGAAATGAGCCGGGCCTGGTGATCAAAGTTTCAGTGGGGGCACATTTTTGAAATAATGACCATAATTCCGTATGTTTTCGGATACTTATGGTTAAGGACAAGAGTTGGCTTCGGATGAAGGTGTTAGATTGTGCTAAGGCCAATTATAACCGAATTAGGCAAGAATTGAAGAATATGAATTGGGAATGGCTGTTTGAGGGCAAATCCACATCTGACATGGGAGTCTTTTAAAGATCAGTCGATTGAGAGCAGTACAGGTACATTCCTATGAAAATGAAGGATAGGAACTGAAGAATTCAGGAACCTTAGATGACAGGGGAAATTGTCAACTTAGTCAAAGAATAGGAAGCACACCTAAGGTCTAGGCAACTAAAACAGACAAAGTCCTTGAAGAATATCGAGTAAGTAGGAAGGAACTCAAAAGCAGTGTTAGGACGCTATGAAATATCTTTGGCTAGCAGGATTAGGGAGAATCCCAAAGCATTTTACACATACATTAGGAGCAAGAAGGTATCTAGCGAAAGAGTAGGCCCACTCAAGGATAAAGGAGGAAGGTTACATGTGGAGCCAGAGGAAGTGGGTCAGCTCCTTAATAAGTGTTTTATATCAGTCTGCACTGAAGAGAGACAAGTGAGGGATTCAAGGTTAGGAAAAGATGCGTGAATATTCTCAGGCAAGTCAACGTAATGAAAGAGGAAGTGTTGGGTGTCTTGAAATGTATTAAGGTAGACAAGGCCCCAGGGCCAAATGGGGTCTAGCCCAGGATTCTGTGGAAGGCAAGGAAGGAAATAGCTGGGGCCTTAACAGATACGGTTGCATCAACTTTGGCCTCAGGCAAAGCTCCAGAAGACTGGAGAATGGCTATTGTTCCTTTGTTTAAGAAGAGAAACAGAGATAATCCAGGTAATTTCAGACCGGTGATCCTGACGTTAGTGGTGGGGAAGCTGTTGGAGAAGATAGTGAGGGACAGGATTTATTCACTTTGGATGTGAATGGATTTGTTAGTGATAGGCAGCATGAGATTTATGCAGGGAAGGTCATGAGGTGACAACAATGATTAATGAGAGGTGGGCAGTGGATATCGTCTACATGGATGTTAGTGAAGCATTTGATAAGGCAAGTCATGGCAGGCTGGTACAGAAGGTAGTCTCATGGGATCTGGGGTGAGCTGACTGGATGAATACAAAACCGGCTTAGTCATAGAAGATAGAGAGTACTGGCGGAAGGATGCTTTTCGGAATGGAGATCAGTAACTAGTGATGTTCCACAGGGACCTTTGTTGTTTGTAATAATACATACGATCTGGAGGAATCGTAGGTGGTCTGATTAGTAAGTTTGCGGATGACACCAATACTGGTGGAGCTGCAGATAGTGAGGATTGTCAAAAGATACAGATAGATTGCAGATTTGGGCAGAGAAATGGCAGATGGAGTTTAATCCAGACAAATGTGAGCTGATGCATTTTGGAAGATCAAATTCAGGTGCAAATTATACAATAAATGGCAGAACCCTTAGCAGCATTGGCGTATGGAGGGATCTGGGCATACAGGTCCACAGATCTCTGAAAGTGGCAACACAAGTGGATAAGGTGGTCGAGAAGGCATATAGCACGCATGTCTTCATTGGCGAGGGTATCGAATATAAAAGTTGGCAAGGTATGTTATAGCTGTATAAAAATTTAGTAAAGCCATATTTGGAATATTGCATGCAGTTCTGGTCACCACAGTACCAGAAAAACATGGATGCTTTGGAGAGGGTGCAGACAAGGTTTATCAGGATGTTGCTTGGTCTGGAGGGCTTTAGTTATGAAGAGAGGTTGGATAAACTCGGATTGTTTTCACTGGAAAGATGAAGGCTGTGGATGACCTGATAAAGGTCTACAAAATTATGAGGTGCATAGATAGGATGGATAGTCAAAGACTTTTTCCCAGGGTGGAAAGATCAACTACAAGTGGGCACAGGTTCAAGGTGAGAGGGAGAAAGTACAGACAAGAAGTGCAGGGAAAATTTCTCATAGAGGGTGGTGCGTACCAGGAACGCACATTGGAAGTGGTGGAAGCAGGCACGTTAGCAACTTTTAAAGCATATCTTGATAGAGATATAAACGGGAGGCCAACAGTGGGATAGACACCACATATGGCAATAAGTAGCAGGTCTAAATAAGGATTAGGAATTGGCACATGCTTGGTGGGCTGAAGGGCCTGTGCTATGTTTTATAAAAAGTTAGAAATTAAGTCACAAATTCTGACATCCAAACTACAGTGAATGCAGTTGATTCTGAAATAATTCAGTAATATAAACAAAATGAAACGTGTCCTTTAAACTAATGTTTGATGTGGTGGTCAAACTCAATAAAAGAAATACCAACAACAAAAACAGAAGTTGCTGGAAAAGCTCAGCAGGTCTGGCAGCATCTGTGAAGAAAAAAATCAGAGATAATGTTCCCCAGAACTGGGGAAGGGTCACCGGACCCGAAACATTAACTCTGATTATTTATTCAGAGATGCTGCCAGACCTGCTGAGCTTTTCCAGCAACTTCTGGTTTTGT